ATGTGTCGCTTGCCTCCGGAGACTAGCATCTTTACAGCGGAACTTTATGCTATTCTCTATGCTCTTCGTCTCCTGCTTTCTCGTTGTCAGTCTTCCTTTGTGGTTGTTGTTGACTCTCGTAGTGCCCTCATGGCTCTCGGGTGCTTTAATCCAGTTCATCCGGTAGTTGTCGAGATCCAGCATTGGCTGTTTCTCGTTCACAGTAAATTTAAGTCGGTTGAGTTTTGTTGGGTTCCCAGCCATATTGGCGTGTCTTTAAATGAGCGTGCGGATGCTGCCGCTAAGGAAGCTGTCCGCTCTTGTCCCATCTCTCGTAAAGGCATCCCGTATTCCGACTTTTACCCGGTTATCCATTCCTCAGTCCTTACCCGTTGGCAGGCTTCTTGGTTGTCTGTTACTGGTAACAAGCTACGTACTCTTAAATGTTGTGTTTCCTCGTGGCCGTCCTCCTTCCACCGTAACCGGCGGTGGGAAACAGCTCTAGCGAGGTTGCGTATTGGCCATACTCGCTTAACCCATGGTCACTTGATGGAGCGCCGCCCTGCTCCTTATTGTCCTAGTTGCATTGTCCCTCTTACGGTCGTGCATGTCCTTCTTGAATGTCCTGACTTCCAGGACGAGCGTGTGTCTTGCTTTCCGACCGCCCCTCGCGGTCACCTGTCCCTCGATAGAATTCTTGGTGACTCGGATACTTTTGATATCGTTCGCCTTATGCGTTTTTGTTCTCGTATTGGCATCCTTGGTGATATTTAGCGCCCTCTGATTATTTTGCGTATTTGATGGTGCTACATAGCCTTCCCGGTTTGGTGCCTTCTTTTGATAATTACTTACTTACTTACTTAGACCATTCCTCCAGTTTGTCCAGGTCGTCCTGTAGTCTCTGTCTATCTTCATTTGTCTTGATTCTTCTCATAATTTTTGCAACATCAGCAAACATTGAGAGGAATGAGTCTATACCCTCCTTACCTTGAGGCTACCTTGAGGTGCTTCCGGGGCTTAGTGTCCCCGCGGCCCGGTCGTCGACCAGGCCTCCTGGTTGCTGGACTGATCAACCAGGCTGTTAGACGCGGCTGCTCGCAGCCTGACGTATGAGTCACAGCCTGGTTCATCAGGTATCCTTTGGAGGCCTAAGGAAGATCGTTTACATATATTAGAAACAGGATAGTTCCAGGTACAGAGTCCTGTGGGACTCCACTGGTGACATGTCGCCACTCTGATGTCTCCAACCCCTCACAGTTACTCGTTTGTTTTAGATTCATCTACTCGGAACAAAAAGTCCTAAAAACCAATTTCCTGTTGGTATGATACTGCCTTGTCCACTGGAGCACCTTACCTCCTTACTGTGTGTGTGTGTGTGTGTGTGTGTGTGTGTGTGTGTGTGTGTGTGTGTGTGTGTGTGTGAGTGTGAGAAGAAGGGGAGAAGGGTCGGGGAGAGAAAGATGCTCAAACAGATAATATACAAGGAAATCGAGCGTATCTGGGCTCTTGATCTTGAGTTGAGGTGACCTTTCACTGGTCACCGTGGGCTCAACCCGTCCTTCTACAAATAACGTAGCTTTTCGCTCGTATATGCGCACTAAGGCTGAAAATTGCCATAATACAAAATGGAAGCGGCTAGCGAAAGTGACGTACTGTCCCGTTTTCTTCTTTGGGTCCTCTGGCTTAGTCTGCTAGACCAGGAAAGGACTGTTTAAATTAACGGTTTTTATGACGTTTTGAAACCATAAGAGAACTTGCTGCCCTCCTAACCTACCAGAGGACCCTTAACCTGCTGTTTTGGGTCCAATTCATTTGGAAAATAAATTTTCATTGTGGATTATGGCAATTTTTGACCGTAGCGCATACGAGCGAAAAGCGACGTTATTTATAAGAGTTGAGGATACCAACCCGTACTACTGCCTGGGAAGGGAAGGAAGAGACACGTGCACACAGGTGTCCAGGCTTCACATGTGTGCACACAGGTGTCCAGGCTCCACATGTGTGTACACAGGTGTCCAGGCTTCACATGTGGGTGCTGCTTCACGGTGACATCTGTTCACGAGGGCCATGATTCACTTTCACTTGATAATTTAGTAATTTGATAATTTAATAAGAACTACGAATGTATTTTGTTATTGGTGGTTATTGTGATTGTTTTCGTATAGACGTGTGATAAAGTTGTTGTTGTTAAAGATTCGCTACCTGGAACAAAGTTCCAAGTAGCACGGGCTATGGTGAGCCCGTAGTGGAGTTATGTGGAGAGTGGCGAGTGTGGTGGTGACTGACACTATCACTGTTCTTGTAAGATATCTGAACCATCTACGCCGAGCCTAGCCTATCGTAGCCTAACCAACATAAGATATACCGGGTAACAGTTTGTTGTTTTATATGTAGAGTGCACGAGGTAGACCAGTCAGGGTCCTTCTCCAGAATAATCGAGAATCTCGGGCGGGACAGAAATGGTTGGGCACGTTTCATTTCGCCTAATGCCTCTGTTCACCTAGCAGTAAATAGATACCCAGAAGTAAGGCATTAGTTGTGGAGTTGCATCCTGGAGATAAGCCTAACATATATATATACACAGGCAACCTGTCCCCGACTAAATAAATTTATATTTATGTGGGTACATATTTAAGATCCTAGCGGAGATGTGTTCAGAAACACATCGCCACATATTAGACGGCAACTTCTGGTGTGACGAGAATGACATAGAGTAGTGGCTATTCTGGATGTGAAGAACCTCTCACACACTCACAGCTCCCTGACAAGAGGGAGCCAGCTTAGCTTAGCTGCCAACACCCACACATGGTGTCAGCAAGGCGGACAGCCCGCCTGCTTTCATACCTCTCACTGTATTTCCCACTTCTATACTTCCCTTCACCTATGCTTCTCCTTCCTCTTTACTCCAAAAAAAAAAGTTGTGCCAGTCGCACAGAAATAAAGAAAGTAAAAGATAGAAAATAAAACTGCTCGTGTCCTCTGCACTGTGAGAACTGCGGGTGAAAACCAAATTGAAATAAAATTTCAAACATTTAATATAACAAAAATGACTAATTACACAAAATAATAAGTAATAATTAATGAAAAACAAAACCCCCATAGACACTTTGTTCTTCACAAAATTAAAAGAGAAATATAAATACAGGTGACTTTTACATTAATCGAAAAGGGGTCCAATGACATTATACAAAGGCGGTTTGCATCTACTGTCTCCTCTGGAGGCGAGAGTAGATGTTACTGCTGAGAGCACCAAGTGTATTCCCAACACTGGATACCGGCGAGCTGTGTATATATATATATATATATATATATATATATATATATATATATATATATATATATATATATATATATATATACATATATACATATACTATAGTAGGCCTAAGAGAGTGTGTGTTAATTAGACTTAGGATTACTAAAGGAGTTAAGTTAGGTCTAATACTTATGATGCGGTTAAATTCAGTAAGAGAAGTCACCACTGGTGGTCCATCACTCCATATGGCTCCGTCCCACCAAACACCTCAGACATGTACTATCCGTGTAGGAGGATGGGCGGGATATAATCTCACCATATTCAACTTGTTCAATTAATAAACAAGTTGATTAATTAAGTCGTTAATTAATAAAATAACGACAATAAAATTCGCAAAACAAGGGAAGGGAACTATTAGGGAGAAAGCGGCAAGCCATTACGACTATATAGTAATGGATGCTATAATACGGAGGTGCACTTGTGTGAGGGTTGGAAACTCATCTGATATATACCTGTTATCATCCCTCACCTGTCATATACCTGTTATCATCCCTCACTTGTCATATACCTGTTATCATCCCTCACCTGTCATATACCTGTTATCATCCCTCACCTGTCATATACCTGTTATCATCCCTCACTTGTCATATACCTGTTATCATCACTCACGGAGCCGGTCGGCCGAGCGGACAGCACGCGGGACTTGTGATCCTGTGGTCCTGGGTTCGATCCCAGGCGCCGGCGAGAAACATTGGGCAGAGTTTCTTTCACCCTATGCCCCTGTTACCTAGCAGTAAATAGGTACCTGGGTGTTAGCTGTCACGGGCTGCTTCCTGGGGGTGGAGGCCTGGTCGAAGACCGGGCCGCGGGGACACTAAAGCCCCGAAATCATCTCAAGATAATCTCAAGATACCTGTTATCATCCCTCACCTGTCATATACCTGTTATCATCCCTCACCTGTCATATACCTGTTATCATCCCTCACCTGTCATATACCTGTTATCATCCCTCACCTGTCATATACCTGTTATCATCCCTCACCTGTCATATACCTGTTATCATCCCTCACCTGTCATATACCTGTTATCATCCCTCACCTGTCATATACCTGTTATCATCCCTCACCTGTCATATACCTGTTATCATCCCTCACCTGTCATATACCTGTTATCATCACTCAGCTGTCATATACCTGTTATCATCCCTCACCTGTCATATACCTGTTATCATCACTCAGCTGTCATATACCTGTTATCATCCCTCACCTGTCATATACCTGTTATCATCACTCACCGGTCATATACCTGTTATCATCACTCACCTGCCATATACCTGTTATCATCCCTCACCTGTCATATACCTGTTATCATCCCTCACCTGTCATATAACTGTTATCATCCCTCACATGTCATATAACTGTTATCATCCCTCACATGTCATACTCCTGGCAGAGAGTGAGTGGATCGTACGACCCCAAGCAACCCACCCAACCTAACCTACCAATACGTAGAAAACGTAGATATTTGAGCTGCTACTTTCATAGCACTTTGTAATTTGTATAATATGAGAACAATAACTGGATTTTTTTAGTGATTATACCATTTACTTTACTGAAATGTATTTATTGATTGTATTGAAGGTTTGTTCATCATTGTGACCTTGTGGAAGAGTCGGCTGACAGCTCTGTGTATACCATTAGTTGTGTTTAATGTTCGCATGCATAGAATGATGGGTAGTTTAAATGTTGTTGTTGATGTGTTGCAGGCGTTGGAGGAGGAGGCCGAGGAGCTGGAGGAGGAGGTGGAGGCGCTAGAGAGCCAGGCTGAGGTGGTGCTCCAGTACCTGCACACGGTGAGCGCTGTGGCCTACGCCTCGGCCAAGGAGAAGCTGGAGCGGCTGGTCAGTCGTCACCCTGAGTGAGTACCCCGCCTGTCTTGTTCTTCACCACCTGGGGCCAGATTCACGAAGCACTTACGCAAGCACTTACGAACCTGTACATCTTTTCTCAATCTTTGGCGGCTTTGTTTACAATTATTAAACAGTTAATGAGCTCCGAAGTACCAGGAGGCTGTTTATAACAATAACAACTGTTGATTGGCAAGTTTTCATACTTGTAAACTGTTTAATAATTGGAAACAAAGCCGCCAAAGATTGAGAAAAGATATACATGTTCGTAAGTGCATGCGTAAGTGCTTTCGTGAATCTGGCCCCAGGTCCGCCGACGCTCATCACCCCCCTTCATCACAACGCTACAATTCATCATTTTTTGTCGTTTAATTAAAATACGATGTTTTCATTGATGTGTTCTTCATAAATATTTTAAGATAAAGTGTTGACAATAAAGGTTTGATAATTGGCATTTATATAAGGAGTAAATGCCGGGAGAATTCCAGCAAATGTGGGTTTCAACTTGAGCTTTGTCTCACGCGCACTTAACCCAAATTCGCGCTGAAATTCAGCTAATGTCATATTCCTTTCGCCATATTGATTGATTAAATTAATACGGATACACAAATTGTTGCGACTTTTGATAGCTAAGCTGGTCAGATGCCCCAAATAAAAATAATTTTTCAGTTCATTTCAAAATAAGTGTTGTAATAATATGTATTATGACGGAAGGACGAAGGACTGGCTACAGGTTAGTATCCAGGGGCCAGATTCACGAAAGCACTTACGCAAGCACTTACGAACATGTATATTTTTTCTCAGTCTTTGGCGGCTTTGTTTCCAATTATTAAATAGTTAATGAGCTCCGAAGCACCAGGAGACTGTTTATAACATTAACAACAGTTGAATGCCAAGTTTTCATGCTTGTAAACTGTTTAATAAATGTAACCAAAGCCATCAAAGATTGAGGAAAGATGTACACGTTCGTAAGTGCTTTCGTGAATCTGGCCCCAGGCGGCGGTGGGCAGCGACGGGGAACTGTAATATTATGTGAGAGTTCGCTGATCACCCCCAAGGTTATGTTCAGAGAGACAGTCAGTATTGGCGGTGAGGCAGCACTTACTGGCTGGGTCTGGACCCCATCAAGAGCTGTGGGGCCGCCCACCTTGTGCTCTAAGGTCTTCATTTATGTCCTGCTGTTTGTGTCTGCACTTATATAATGGCGTTACTGCCTCATTATATATATATATACATATATATATATATATATATATATATATATATATATATATTATATATATACTGAAAATTCACACCCCAGAAGTGACTCGAACCCATACTGCCAGGAGCAACGCAACTGGTATGTTCAGGACGCCTTAATCCACTTGACCATCTCGACCGGACATGAGGTGATAGCCAAAGCTATCTAATAGCTTTGGCTATTAGATAGCTATTATAGCCAAAGCTATCTAATAGATTCGGCTATCACCTCCTTATGTCCTGTCGAGATGGTCAAGTGGATTAAGGCGTTCTGTACATACCAATTGCATTGCTCCTGATAGTATGGGTTCGAGTCACTTCTGGGGTGAGAGTTTTCAGTTGCATATAGTCCTGGGGACCATTCAGGCTTGTCTGCATATATATATATATATATATATATATATATATATATATATATATATATATATATATATATATATATATATATATATATATATATATGGCCCTAACACTGGATGAGAACAGGAAGTCTCACTCAAGGAAGAAAAACATCTCACTCAATTACATGATTTTGTTCAAGTTGGATAAATATTACGCTTTATGCTTATGTCAGTTAGAAACAAAGTATAATGGCCCTGGCGTATTGTAACTTGGAACACTAACTTGCAACATATACATTACAGTGATAAACATATACATTGCTTCCTTTACACACATACAGAATATACCTGACGTACACACAAGTACTTGTATGACAAGGTACACAGACAATTTGCAGTAGACATTCAGCAATTCAACAAAAGGTTACAATCTTGGTGCAAAATTGTTATATCTTTACAGAATATCATGTGTGAAGGTGGGTAGGTTCGGGGGATGGGGGGTTGTATAATATAATGGGCACATTGTGGGATATGTAACTTGGAGTGTGTTGAGAGAGGGAGGTGGTGGTGGTAGTGGTAGCGGGCATGATGTGTACCAGGGGGTGTTGGTGCCCAAGATAGTGTAGGAAGTGTGGGTGTAGGCAGTGCTGGTGTGGTATGGTAGGTATGTATGTCGAGTGGGGAGGGGGAGGTGTGGGTGTGGCCATGTGGCCGCATGGCGCCACTGCCAAGCTGCCAGCCACATGCTCACATAGTGCCCTCACTTGACAACATTATTAAGGGTTTATGAGGTTAGGCTGGTGTAGGCTTACAACACGCTGCCCTCCTCACAAGGGTCACTCTGTCATCTTTGGGAAAGCAAATGTGTTCGCTGGCATCACTAGTTCGCTGTTCGCTGACATCACTAGTTCGCTGTTCGCTGGCATCACTAGTTCGCTGTTCGCTGGCATCACTAGTTCGCTGTTCGCTGACATCACTTGTTCGCTGTTCGCTGGCATCACTAGTTCGCTGTTCGCTGGCATCACTAGTTCGCTGTTCGCTGACATCACTAGTTCGCTGTTCGCTGGCATCACTAGTTCGCTGTTCGCTGACATCACTAGTTCGCTGTTCGCTGGCATCACTAGTTCGCTGTTCGCTGACATCACTAGTTCGCTGTTCGCTGGCATCACTAGTTCGCTGTTCGCTGACATCACTAGTTCGCTGTTCGCTGACATCACTAGTTCGCTGTTCGCTGGCATCACTAGTTCGCTGTTCGCTGGCATCACTAGTTCGCTGTTTGCTGGCATCACTAGTTCGCTGTTCGCTGGCATCACTAGTTTGCTGTTCGCTGACATCACTAGTTCGCTGTTCGCTGGCATCACTAGTTCGCTGTTCGCTGACATCACTAGTTCGCTGTTCGCTGGCATCACTAGTTCGCTGTTCGCTGGCATCACTAGTTCGCTGTTTGCTGGCATCACTAGTTCGCTGTTCGCTGGCATCACTAGTTCGCTGTTCGCTGACATCACTAGTTCGCTGTTCGCTGACATCACTAGTTCGCTGTTCGCTGGCATCACTAGTTCGCTGTTCGCTGGCATCACTAGTTCGCTGTTCGCTGACATCACTAGTTCGCTGTTCGCTGACATCACTAGTTTGCTGTTCGCTGACATCACTAGTTCGCTGTTCGCTGGCATCACTAGTTCGCTGTTCGCTGACATCACTAGTTCGCTGTTCGCTAGCATCACTAAGTAGGCAGTGTAGTAGTACAGTGTATAGTTTTGTTTGGCAGTTACCACCATTTGTCTTCGCTAGAGTGTGTAAGTGCAATGGTAATGGCTGAGTGTAAGTTGAGGAGGACCCTCTCCCTTGCACCAACCTCCCTAAGGTAAGGTTAGTGGGGGCGCGGGCACGTGTACAAATTACGTCGCTTTCCGCTCGTATGCGCACTAAGGCTTAAAATCGTCGCCGTAGTGGAAAATGGAAGCGGCTCGCGAAATTGGCACTCTGTCTCGTTTTCTGTTTTGGGTCCTCTGGCTTAGTGCATGTTAGGTTAGGTGAGGAAACTTTCAATTAACGATTTTCATGGCGTTTTGAAACTTTAGAAGAACTTCCTGCCCTCTTAAGCTACCAGAGGACCCTTAACTTGCTCTTTTGGGCCCATTTCATTTAGAAAATAGATTTCCATTGTTTTGAAATTTCCAATACGGCTATTTTTTGTCGTGACGCATACGGGCGAAAAGCGACATAATTTGTAAGAGGACGCCTCGCCCAACCAGCGGGAACACTGCATGTCCTCGCGGACGCTTTTTCATAAGGCTCGACTTTTCCCCCCCAAGAAATGCCAAGCTAAGTTACATTTCTGTACTTAATGTTTGCCCTTCGAATACGTGAGAGTTTTAGTGGCCAAGGAGGCACCCACTTCCGGCCTTCTCCACTATATCATTTTTAAATTTTGGTCCGAGGAGAAAGTTTATTGTGCGGCTAAGTATTCCATCATACGTTCCTTCACAGGAAACACTTCATCAACATATCTCAGTCATATTAAACTTAAGGAACTATGGCAACAATTCAATCCCAAATTATTCCATCAATAAGTTGTAGTTATTCTTCAGTTTATTTTAATTGATTGATAATGCATCTCATACGCATGTGTGAGCGATAGTGGGAAAGTTTACACGCGCACATAACGGGTTCAGGAAGCCAGCCTCAAAATGTGTTTAACTAAGCAAATTACAGCACTGATGACCTAGTGACATAGCTAACATAAATCAATTCAGAGTGTGATGGTAGTTTATGAGACTAACACCACCGTGACCTCAGGAGGCCCTAACGCACACCCAGTTTATTACTCCACCCAATTAAATACAATTTTAAATTGGCCACAGGGAACCGGTCGGCCGAGCGGACAGCACGCTGGACTTGTGATCCTGTGGTCCTGGGTTCGATCCCAGGCGCCGGCGAGTAACAATGGGCAGAGTTTCTTTCACCCTATGCCCCTGTTACCTAGCAGTAAAATAGGTACCTGGGTGTTAGCTGTCACGGGCTGCTTCCTGGGGGTGGAGGCCTGGTCGAGGACTGGGCCGCGGGGACACTAAAGCCCCGAAATCAGCTCAAGATAACCCTACACCCTGCCAGTGGGTGACAGTGGGAAGCTTAGTCGACATTGGTGAGTGGAGACCCCATTCCACAGCCTCACGTCTCCTTATAGAATAATCTATTAATCGAGATAACATTATCATTGACGCTTAAGTTTACTAGTTCAGCGAGCGTGTTCATTAATCTGAGTGAGATAGGTTGATGAGTAACTTGGAGAGGACACAAGGTAAAAAGCTGTGAAGCGTTCTGGGATAATTTGACATTACGAATATACAGTACAGTACAGAATATACAGTCAGGGGGAACCTTCACAGTGTTCAAGAGAGAACCACCTCCAAAGGATACCTGATCAACCA